AGTTGGCGAGCAAAGTGTCACGATCAATGTATTCAACTCTATGAAATACGCAGATGATTAAGAGGAATGCCAATGCATTAATAAGATTGAAAAAAAGGCAATCCAAGGACGAGATGAATCCCTAAGGCTTGATGTGTACAACAATTTGTACCATGAACCCACAACCGAAATACATGAAGCAGAAAACTTTGGCCCTGACAAAATATTTTCAGAAGACGATTCTGAAAATCATGTCCACGACAACAAAAATCCGCACACTGAACATCCTGAAAGCGATACCAAGGCAAGATGCGAAGGAAAGACAAAAGACCAATTGAGATTTCTTTATAGGTCAGGTATGAAATTCAAACCTTTAGATTATGATGAAGTTAAATCTCAAGAGTCATCTTTACAATATGCACCGAAATTGGAGCTTAAGACTTTACCATCACATTTTAAATATGCTTACCTAGGAGTTGATGAAACTTTACCAGTGATAATCTCTGCCAACATAACCTCTGAACAGGAAAAGAGTTTGTTGAATGTTTTGTCACAACACAGAAAAGCTATAGGGTGGACGTTGGCAGACTTGAAAGGAATCAGTCCAACCATATGCATGCACAAAATCAATCTTGAAGATAGCCACAACACCTCGGTAGAACCCCAAAGATGGCTCAACCCAATCATGAAGAAGGTAGTCATGAAAAAAATAATAAAATGGCTGGATATGGGAGTGATTTATCCTATATCCGATAGTTCATGGGTTAGCCCAGTCTAATGAGTGCCAAAGAAAGATGGGGTAACCGTGGTTAAAAGCGAGTATGATGAGTTACTCACCACGAGAACAGTCACGGGCTGGCGCATATGCATGGATTATAGGAAGCTCAACAAAGCCAAAAAGAAGGATCATTTTCCCCTCCCTTTCATCGATCAAATGTTGGATAGATTAGCGGGACATGCATTTTATTGCTTCTTCGATGGATACTCGGGGTATAACCAAATTGCCATAATACCCGAAGACCAAGAGAAAACAACGTTCATATGCCCGTATGGTACCTATGCATTTAGGCAAATGTCGTTTGGACTGTGTAACGCTCCAGCTATATTCCAATGATTCATGATGGCAATCTTTTTAGATATGGTGGAAGAGTGCATGGAAATATTTATGGAGGACTTCTCCGTTTCGGGTGATGACATTGACCGATGCTTCCGCAACTTATCCAAGGTGTTGAAACATTGTGAAGAAGCCAACCTAGTACTGAATTGGGAAAAATGTCATTTTATGGTAACTGAAGGAATAGTGTTGGGACACAATTTCATGCCATGACATCGAAGTTAACAAAGCCAAGGTGGATGCAATTGCAAATCTTCCCCCACCTACTAATGTGCGAGGTGTACGCAGTTTCCTTGGATATGCAGGATTCTATAGGCAATTCATGAAAGACTTTTCTCAAATCTCTAAACCCTTATGTCTTTTGCTTCAACAAAATCATCCATTTGAGTTTACTCATGATTGTTTGAATGCCTTCACAAATTTGAAGAAAAAGCTTTCAGCAGCGCCAATAGTTATCCCACCAGACTGGAACGAATCATTTAAGCTTATATATGACACTAGTAACTATGCAGTCAAAGCAGTGCTAGGGCAACGAAAAAGTAAAATTTTTCATGTTATCTACTATGTAGGCCGAACACTTAATGATGCTCAAGTGAACTATACCACCACTGAAAAGGAACTCTTAGCAGTAGTATTTGCATTCGATAAGTTTAGGCCATATCTAATAGGCACTAAGGTAATTGTGCACACATGTCACTCAGCTATTAAATATATGATTAATAAAAAGGTTGCAAAGCCTAGACTAATTCGGTGGATATTATTATTACAAGAATTTGATTTAGAAATCGAGGATAGAAAAGGTATAGAAAATCAAGTGGCGGACCATTTGTCTAGGCTAGATAACAAACCTGATTGTCCTGACATCACAGATATTAAAGAGGATTTCCCTGATGAGAAAATATTATTTGTCACGACTGCACCGTGGTATGTTGACATCGTTAATTTTCTTGTTAGTGGTATTGTTCCTCTTGATTTATCTAGCCAGGGCAAACGAAAATTTCGACATGATGTTCGACATTACTACTAGGACGAACCATTTCTATTCAAGCAGTGCAGAGACCAAATAATTCGAAGGTACATTCCAAAAGAAGAGCAGCAAGATATCCTACTCCAATGCCACTCGTCACCATATAGAGGGCATTTTGGTGGGATGAGAACAACAACAAAAGTGCTTCAGTCGAGATTTTATTGGCTAACACTGTTCAAAGATGCGCATAAATTCTACAAGTCATGTGATAGATGTCAACGTACAGGAAACATCTCGAAACGACATGAGATGCCATGGCAAAACATTCTGGAGATCGAACTTTTCGACGTATGGGGCATAGATTTCATGGGACCTTTTCCAACATCATTCGGAAATATGTACATTCTCTTGGTAGTGAATTACGTATCAAAATGGGTTGAATCCATTGCAACACCTAAGAAAAATTCCAAGACGGTGTTGAAGTTTTTGTACAAAAATATATTCACCCGCTTTGGAACACCACGAGCTCTCATTAGCGATGAAGGGACACATTTTGATAATAAATTGATTATCAAGGCATTGAAAAGATATGGAGTACGACATAGAATTTCTATGGCGTATCACCCTCAGATGAATGGATAAGCCGAAGTATCTAACCAAGAAATCAAACAGATCCTCGAAAAAGTGGTCAACCCAAGTCGAAAAGATTAGTCACCGAAGCTAGATGAAACACTATGGGCTTATCGCACAACATTCAAGACACTGCTGGGAATGTCCCCGTTCAAGCTAGTTTATGGAAAGGAATGTCATCTACCGGTTAAACTCGAACACAAAGCATATTGGGCCATCAAAAAGATAAACATGGATGCTCAGCTTTGTGGAGAAAGAAGACTATTGGAACTGAACGAGATGGATGAATTTAGAGCATATGCATACGAGAATGCCCGCCTTTACAAGGAGAAAACAAAACGATGGCATGACAGAAAAATATTGCCGAGGCAATTTTATTCTGGACAACAAGTACTACTCTACAATTCACGCCTTAAGTTAATCCCAGGCAAGCTAAAATCACGATAGTCAGGACCATTCATCGTACACCAAGTCCATGACAATGGATCAATTGAAATTTAGAACCAAAACGATGGTTCCATCTTCAAAGTGAACGGGAAGAGACTCAAGGAGTACAAAGGAGCCCCAATCATGCGAGACAAACCAGCATCGTTGGCATATGATGCCCAAGAGTTTGCTTTTCGTAATTGAGCAAATATTAGTTTCCTAGGCAACGAAAATCTGAATTATGTACATAAATAAGTTAAGTTATTTTATGCTTTAATCCATTTTATTTTATTATTTTCTTCTTTCATATTGTAGGCGAGCAAGGAACACGTGGCAACATGGGGAGTTGAAGCATGCATGAAGAAAAAAGAAGAAGCCCTAGGGTACATGATTTGGCGGCAGAATAAAGAGGGAAAGAAATCCTTTCTTCCCCTTTATGTCTTATCAAATATTTCTCATTTAATGAGAAATCTTTTCCCCACCGTGTAAGGACCAAAATGCCCCGAAACCACCCATCACTTTCCAAGAAAGATTACCCACTCTTCTTCTTCTTCATCGTGTTTCCTTCTTTCTTTACAAACCAGAAAATTTCTTTTCTTTCTCTCAAAATACCTCCCCATCGCCACCACTAAAATCAACCAAGAAAAATGGTGAGATCGAGACCAGCCCCAGCCCCGAGACAGAGTTTCGAACGTTTCCAAACAGCTGAATGAGAGGCACGCTTCAAAACCATTTAGCAACGCCAAATCTATTTGGAAGATGGATTCGTTTTTCCAGCCGAGGCAGAAGAGTAGTTTGGCCCTGAGGTGATGGGCATCATAAAGAAGCATAACTGGGAGAAGTTTACTCGTAATCCTAACGCCGTAGCACCATCAATGGTGAGGGAGTTCTATGCCTAACTCGCGGACACGTCCAACCACACGGTATATGTTCGAGGAAATCTCATTCGCTTTTTCCCTTCTGCACTTAACAAATACTTTAAGTTGGGGAAAGTGGATAACCAACACATGAGATTTGCGGTCGAGGTAGATCAATAAACGAACAGTGGGGTTATACAGGATTTATGTTTTGGGTGGACCAAGTTTGAAGGGAATATCCCCAGAAGAAATCGAGTAGATCATCGAGCCCTCAAACCATACGTAAAATTGTGGAACCATTTTCTTAAAGGCAAGTTGATGCCAATGTCCCACAACATCAATGTCCTCGTCAAGTGGCTGGTGTTGTTGCACTCGATCATATACGGTAGAATGATCGATGTGGGTGAAATCATCTTTGAGCATATCCATGACTCTCCTAAGAAGAACCATGGTAACCTACTGTTCCCAAACCTTATAATTGCGATGTACAGAAAGAAAAAGGTTCCTGAGTAACCATTCGAAGACTTCATCAAACCCAAGGAGGGTATTACAAAGAAAAAGGTCCCCGAGTTGATGAGTTTCAATGATGATGACCCAAAAGAGGGTCTAGAACGAGGAGAAAAATCGATTGTCGTGACTAGAATGGCCGCTGTGGTCATGCACACGCGTGAAAAGATCAGGCGCCTGGAGGACCACATGAAAATTTACTTTGAATATGCCAAGGCAAGGGATATGCAACTCAATGCCTTCATCAAGGAGTTTCTCCCAACCACAATGATTAGACTGCCAACCTTCCCCAGTGTCATCCTCAACTACTATGCGGGCGGCAGCACATTCCATGCCTCGACATCTTATGTATCTCCACAAGTTCCACCAGAGGTGCCCACCGATGTGCCACCATTGGTAACCTATGTCACACCCGTACCAGAAGAAAGCCACAACGACACCGAGGAGTTCCTTAGTTCCTCATCCTTCTCCACCACCGAAAGCATTAATGATACTCCACCCCACTTCTTCATTGATGAAGATTTCACGCCAGCACCGAAGCAGCCTGAGCAGGATCCTATTCCATCCCCAGTTCGATCAACACCACTAGCCCCAACAGCAACTCCTAGTCTACCACCAGTTCCAGTACAACCGACTCCCGCGATCGAGCAGTCCACTCCAGCCCAAGCTTCGACCAGCAAGAAGAGATATAAGAGAATAGTGGGACGTATACTTCAACCGTCTCCTTCTCAGCCAGAAGCAGTAGACTCAGGATCCGAGAGCCCTTCCCCTGTCAAACGCCGCCGCACGAGGGCGTCCAGTCAAGCCATACCACCACAGTAAGTTTTTGTAGTTTTCATTTTTTTTCGTATTTGCATATAACAACATTTAGTGTAGTTTTCATGTATTGAGGACAATGTATCCCTCAAGTTTGGGGGAGGTGTTATCCATTCTGCCATACTTTGTTAAATAGTAATTGATGTTAATTGGTTGAAAATTTTTGTTGTCATGACATAAGTAGGTTAGGATTATTGTTAGGAATAAATTAGGGATGCCCAATGATAAATGCAAAATTTTATTGCCTAGGCCAGAATTATTGTAAAGACTGTCTGAAGAAGAGAACCAACCCTAGGCTTGATCATTTGAAACTTATAAACACGATTATAGGTTATCTTTTCTCTAGGTAATCTGTAAATTTTTTAAGAAAGAACTTTCTAATTGTCGAGACTTCAAAAATATTCTAAGGGTAAGGTAAAAACTCTCTAATGTTTAAAAACTTGAAAACTAGAAAAATACAAAGGGACACTCCTTTGTGCAAAGGCATGAATAATAAAAACTTCAAAAAAAATTAAGAGTATCCAAGGTATATGAGTGAATGAAAGTAGTCACAGGATGACTCTGCCTGACCAGCTTGGGGGTAGAAGGTATGCTCCCTTTCACCTAGAGTGTGGAACGGTAGTTGTGATGAGCTGACTCCCCTATATAAAAAAAGTGTGAATAAAGAGAATAAAAGTTGATAAATAACTAGGAGTATAAACTAAGCCTGATGAATAATTTGTTGCCTTGACAACCTAGAAGTGCTTACTTTAAGTTTTTTAATTACCTCTATGCATAAACTAGTTATAATCACGCACACACAATAGCAAAGGATCCTGACTAGGGAAGGGACTTGACTAATGTGACTGTCGAACATGTTGAGGCAACATATTTTTGCCGAGGGCTGAAATCTCAAACCTGATGATGTTCTTGATACTGTTTTGCCATGACAATTTTGATTTTCTTCTAGATATTATCCATTTCTTGAGGACAAGCAATAGCTTAAGTTTGGGGGTGTGATAACTCCGTAAAAAGACTTAAATTCCAGTCTTTTCACTTCAGTTATTGCTCGTCTAAACAAAGTATGCACTGCATTTTTAGTTGCATTTAGTTGCATATAGGTTGTGGTGGATAAGTTTTGCCTAGGCAAGATTATTTGGCTTAACTGATGATGCTGAGGAGAAAGGGTTGTTTGTGTTGTGTTTGTGCAGGAATTCTACAGAGGAAGAACATTTCAGTCGTGACAATGAAAAGTTGCAAAGGCCAATGGAGCAGATGAGAACGTGAGGAGCAGATTTATCTCGCCAAGGCAAGATTTATCTAAAGAAGTCTGAAGCAAATGTGGCGAAACCGCCTATGTCACATTCCAGCTAGATGACCTGCTTCACGTGCAAGCAAGCCTTGAATATCCTGTCAGCCGTCAGCCGCCTTTCCTTTTTAAGTTTGGGAAATTAATAACGGCTAATTAAGGAAACTCCAAAAACAGGCAAAGCCCTAGGAGATTCTCCCTATAATTATCAGCCGTAGCCGCAAAAAAAAAAAAGAGGAGGCAAGGAAGAAGAAAGAAGAGCTTTACCTTAGGCGTGAGCAAGCAACTGCGGTGTTTTCCCTCCATCTATCCCCTAGTCTTCCTTGGTGTCCTCCATAGCCAGACGATAGCAGAGCAGTGATCAGGCCTCGAGAGAGGGTGATCACCAAGGTAGGCGTGGTGCTGATTAGGATTGTCGCGACAGAGCCCCCGATTTTGGGAGTCATTCTTCCTTTATTCTTAAAATTTTATTTTATTTAGGGTTGTATTAAACGGTTTAATCTTGGATGATCTTTGATACCACCATGAATGCTTTACTTGGTGTTAAAGTTTGTTTGCCTGAATAATATTTTATGTTTATGAATGATGAATTATGTTTTCTTATGACTGTTTTGCTCATAGTTTAAATATTTTGCCTTAACACTGCAAGAGAATCGAGAGATCGTCTGGGGTTTTGGTAAAACATGTCTGGGCATTGTAAGAGCATCGAGAGATAACCTTTTATCTAGAAAGTGATTCTTCATTTTGAGAGAATTAAGAGAGATCAACGTGAGCAAAGGAATGAATCCGGGATGGTGAAGTTCTAACTTGTCTACCTTAGAGATAAGGAGTGAGTTTCAACGACTAAAAGGGATAAAGGCTAGAGTAGGTTAAGACAACGTCTATAGTTAACGTCGAGAGGTATTGCCATAGCAACCATCTTAGAATACCTAGTAATCCTGTCGGGCAGTTTAGTGAGTCATAATAATTCATTATCGGCTTAAAATAATTGTTGTCGAGACAATGGTTTAGCATCAGTGCTCTGTGACACGTCTGAATATGTGAGGTTGTTTGCATTATATTTAATCCAATACTTATTTTGTTTTGTTTTATCTGTCTGCATATTTTGTTTGTCTCGGCCACACGTGTCTGAAATCATTTAATCATTATTCTTAGCTCCTTAATATTAGTTTTAGCTTTAATACTTAGTAGGATTAATTTGTGGCATTAGTTCTAGTTGTGGTAAAAAGATATTTCTAATCCAATCCCTGTGGAGACGATACTCACTCACTATTATATTACTTGCATCGATTGTGTATACTTGCACAGATTAGCTTGCCTTAGCATATACATTCACAAGTGATCAACAGGCAATATGATGACAACATATGATAAATAACCTTTTGGAGAGTATTGTAATCCAAGTCAATCCCAACAATCGGGTATGATTCCAAAAATTATGACAGAGATCATGCTGAGAAAATCAAAAATTGATGTTGAAACTTCTAACACGAAAGTTGAGTCTCACTCAAAGAAGAAAGGCATAGAGGAAGTTCAAATGTCAGTAAAGAAGGCTAAAAATAACAATAAAAAAAAGAAGAGGAAACATCTCGTTCCGATTCCAGGTTAATATTCAGACTTGTTACCCTTTCTCTTCGAAAGTAGCCTTCTAACACCTATTCCTCCAAGGTCTAATACTTATTTGCGTCCAGATTAGAAAGGTGCCAAAAATTCATGTAGCTATTGTTCTGGATATTTTAGACACTCTACAGAAAGTTGTGCGGTTATGAGATTAAAGGTTCAAAACCTCATCACGAAAGGGTTGTTATGCTTTGAAGATGGAAAATCTAAGCTCCGCAGAAGCTCAAAACTTATCGTTAAGGGGAGATCTGCAAGCCAGTCTCTCCTACAAGACGTTAGTCAAAAGCTGAACTTTCAAAATGAATATCTCAATGATCATTCACTAGGTCTTCAAGATGATCACAATGGTGGCAAAGAGAAAATGAAGTCAAAGGAGTTTCTACTCAATTTTCCTTCATTTTCGTACAACAAATTATATCCCAAGTTTCTCGAAGCTCATTGATTACTACACGTCTGGCTAAGCCTCTGTTACCCTCTTATCCGAGTTGGTATAATGAGAAAGTTTCTTATGAATATCACGCAGGAGCCTGAGGACACTCCATCGAGATTTGTGGTAACTTCAAACGATAAGTTCAATATCTTTTGGCTTATGGAGTTATAGAGGTGGATGTTAACAATCAGTCTGTTTCAGTTAAACAGTTGGGAGTCAACCCCCAAAATAGAGTTGATGGGGTTAGAGTTCTAAACCTTTGACAAAGTGACAAGACTGAACCTGTATAAAATGAGAACCCTTGACCTTACCCCAGAAGATACACCAGAATACCATACACTTCTTTTGCAGGGATCAAGTTAGTCTTCTACTCGCATAAAGAGACAATTAAAGGCTTGGCATTCATGTATGTATAGGAGTAGATAAAATGGGGCATATTACATACGAGGTTGCAAAGCTGATTGGGTTCTACTTCTATTAATGACGTTCAATGATGATTTTAATCTATTTAGATGGAATAAACGAGTAGATGAATTTAGTTTAGGTCAGTTGTTTGGGAATTAAACTCTAAAGATGAGATTTCCTGACCTTTAACAATACCCATACTATAACAGGTTCTCCTCGAATAGCTTAAGAAATTGAATTAACATACCCATGAATGTAATTATAATATGTATACAATAAAGCTTGAGTTGTTACTCTAAAGAAATTGGTTAAATTCCCCAGCTTTATGAATAGATTAAACTAGCCCGATAAAGGCGATTATAATATATATATACAATAAAGCTAAATTCAGCTAGCCAAACAATGGAAAATTAAATCAAATTTACTAAATAAGGGGTTTCAATAAAATTGACTAAGAGGGTCGAGGAACACCTATTATAGTCGACCTCACACAAGCACTCAGGAATTTTATAGTTAGATTGATATTTTCAACAGTGCCTCTACTAAAGGAGTTTGCAAAACTTGAACAAATGAGAGATTTCAGAGAACTGAAACGGAAGCGTTCCAAAAAGTCTAGTAATTTAGTGTGCTAGTTGCTTTATTTTTGTATGCATCCACTTAATATATCAAACAGAGAAAGAGGGGCATGCCACAAGGTTCACATGGGCATATAAACAAATAAGGATTTCTCGATGGCTGAAACCTTAGAAAATAGGAAGCCACCCTGAAGTTAATCCACCAGTCCTGACACTTGTCAAATGAGTATAACTGTGAAAATTTAAAGAACAATTTATTCTTTTGATATTATGTGAGCTCATGTTTATGATTTGCTTCAATTGGGATCCTGAATTAAGGGGCAATACTTTACAAAATTCTTTCATTCTTTGATTTCTAAAATAAAAAAAAGGATAAAAACATTTTCAAATAGGACAATCTCAAGTGAACAAGGTCCTTGAAGCTGGTGAGGCTCATTTTTCCTCTATTGGAGAAATAATAAACGATGCCAGAATAATGAAGCATTCCACAATCCAAAGCAAATAGTCTGAGAGATCAGAAGGACTGAGGGATAGAACTTGTAATACTTCCTTGTGACTTTGACAGTAACCCGTCAAGAAGCAGATGATCACCTTATTCGAAAGGGGCATATATCCCAGCTCATAGAAAAAAATGCAAGACATTTTTGTTAGCATAATTAATCTCT